TTTTCCATTGACTTAATTGATAATGAAAGGCGAAATCCCAGAAGCGCTGTTAATCAGTCGGAAAAGCTTCGGATGCGCCTGACGGAAGTTATTTGGAATGCAGCATCTGCCCACACGCTTTTTGTGATTACGCAGTCAGCCAGTTCGGAGTAAGGGCAACCTATCTTGCTTCAGAACAAAAGACAAGCTTCACTCGAACAACAAGTCAGGAAAACACACAACTGCAGATTCCGGTAAATTGTGACGCGCCCCAGTATGGCAGTGCGCACCATTCTACTGGTGATTTGCGGTATTCATAAGTTTAGATCCGAATATGGCGGTGTAATTCATAAGGCTCGGATACCTCATGGCACTTGCTCGCTCGCTGATGACTTAACGCAATAGCAAGGCGATAAATCACCGGTAGAATGCCGGCGTCACGAAGGTGGCGAACAGTGGCGGAACAATCCTAAAATCAATGGTCTGAAAGCTGAAAAGTGGAAATGAGTGTACGGAGGTATTCGTTGAGCTGCCAGTTCGGTTCAGCCGGGTCAGTGCAAATACGATAGGAGGGCGGGAGATTGGTTGCCGGGGGTGGAGCCTCGACGGCGCGCCTAACGAATCAGCTGCCTGCAGTCCGTGGTGTGCATCCAAGCATTTTCGACCATTCGCTCACTCACTCGACCATGGATTGTTCATCCCTATGGCCGCGATATGCCGCGGCAGCTGCCTACAACCCGAGCACCACTACGGCTGTAACGAATCCCGGTGCTGCTGCTGCTGCGGCCGCTGCTGCTTTATACACTCAGCCATTTACTAGTAATCATTTTACAGCCTATTTTTCATAAATTGCTTTTTTTCTGCACATCTTTCCTGGAACAGCCGAGTTGATGAAGCATGTGGCATCCATCATCACATTTGTACCGACAATCGAACGGGCTGCAGAGTCAGCGTGCAGACCCTCCCCTTTTAGTCAAATCCAACAGAGGGGCCAAAAAACCAGCAAATTTAAATGCATCTGTCGTTTTATGAGGATTTGCAAAAATCTTATCCCCGCAATGCCTTTTGCTATTAGGTCATACCGGCGTCAATCAGCTCGGTGGCGTTTTCGTGAATGGACGTCCTTTACCGGATCATATTCGAAATCGAATCGTTGAATTAGCGCATCAGGGGATACGCCCATGCGACATTTCGCGCCAGTTACGGGTATCGCACGGTTGCGTGTCGAAAATTCTTGGCCGCTATTATGAAACCGGATCCATTCGACCAGGTTTTTTGCGCCTTGTTAAACCAAAGCTAAATTTCACAGAAAAAAGAATTTTTCTCAATGCTTTTAGGCCTTTTAGCATTTTATGCTTTTAGTATTTTAATCTTATTATAGTGATTTCTCTAGATTTTTCAAGCAAGTTCGATTACAACTATACTGAAAACAAAACAGTAGTTTTTTACA